GAACCATTAATCAGCTTATTGGAAAATTGATAATTTTTCACAAAAATATTTTTCCATTTGAATTTACTTTCAAAAAATATTTTCATTCCCCCAATTAAACAAAAACATCTTATATTAATATTTCTGATATTTTAATTGTATTCATTCATTCATTCATTCTATTGGAGTAGGTTGCTTGTTTTATTGTACTCCCATGTGTTTAGTGGACAAATTGATAATATTTCAGGAAAACTATTTTCCATTGTGGAAGTGACTTTCAAAATATGTTTATTCCCCCTAATTAAACAAAAAGTCTATGTCTATGTATATGCCATTAGAGCTGTTTTGTGTCAGCATATCTAATGTAAATTAAATATTCCATAATTTGAACATACTTTGTGCCATACAGTCAGTGATACAGAGACCTCACTGACTCAGTAAAGCTTTGTTCCAAACAACTAGTTCAAACACCAGATTCTGCTCAGGAACAACACTACAAGCAAGTGTATCGAAATAAATAAACAAACAACTAGATGGCTCATCAGCTTTGCATGAGCGCCGTAATCCATCATGAGCTGGGAGTGAGGTGTCAGATGCACCGCTGTAACGACTCCATTAAGACTACACACGAGCTGACATCTCCATATGCTCTACAACACTGATGTGACATCAGAGCCCATTACCCACAAACCCCTTCATCCGCAATGCACCCTAGAAGTACTAAACAAGCTCTGTTTACCGGGGGTCATGACAGCTTTGTGGCCTGATCTGTGTCGTCGGCTGCACGCACATCTGCTTTCACGGCGACTCATGGGACTGTGAATCAATTCATTGTGCGTTATTTGTAACCTCTTTAAAACTGTCTAACGCAGCAGGTGTAGTTTCTTACAAGAAACCGCTTTTCAGATTTTCAGATTGTCATCAGTACTTTAGTAGATCAAGGGTGGACATTATAATGTTTTTTTTAGGCAGGACTTTGCCTTTTTATTATATTAGTTTTGCTTTTTTGAGTCTTTTGTTTTGTACCTAAGTGTTACATAATGTGAAGCTCTTTTTGCTTCACATTACGTAACAATAAAAAGAGAAGAGAAAAACTCAAATGAGGTGGGTTCCTTTTATTTGTGAAGTATTTACGTGATTATCCAAAAAATAGTCATCACCATATGGTTATTTATGTAGAAAGCATATTTTAATTTAATTTTCATCATATGTACTAGCATTCAAAAGTTTGGGATCTGTAAGATTTTTTAATGTTCTTGAAAGAAGTCTCTTCTGCACACCAAGTCTGCATTTATTTGATTAAAAATACAGTAAAAACATAAATATTGTGAAATATTATTACAATTTAAAATAACTGTGTTATATTGTAATATATTGTAAAATGTAATATATTCCTGTGATCAAAGCTGAATTTTCAGCATCATTACTGATATGCTTCATATACTTGTGGAAACCGTGATACTTTTTTTTTCAGGGTTCTTCGATTAATAGAAATTTCTAAAAAACAGCATTTATTTGAAATAGAAATCTTTTGTAACATTATAAATGTCTTTACTGTCACTTTTGATCAATTTAATATGTCCTTGCTGAATTATAGTATTCAGAATAATTTAGTTAATCATTCTAATTATTTATTTTTTTATTACATTTTTGTTATTTTTATTGAATAAATTAAATAATTTTTATTTAATCATTTAGTAAAAAAAAAGGTACTGACCCAAACTTTAACAGTTATACACACACACACACACACACACACACACAGACGTCCCCTAAGAGAGGTTTTTGGAGATTTTGTCAGGTTTAGCTCACTTTTGGTTACAAATTTGTCCCCAAAATATGGTTAAGTAGGTACACACATACACACACACACACACAAACACAAATAAATATATTGCGTCCACTCCATGTTTGACGCATTAAACATCAACAAAAGTCTTATCAGATCCTGATTAGCTCCTTTTAGAGGTGCTTCTGCTCCTAAACATCTTCATTGAGGTGCTTTATCTATCTCAAATTTAATTACACCTTCTTTATAATTCATATCTTTGGCTGAATACTGGCAGAAGCCCTGGGTCTCAGGCGAGCTGTGCTGCTCTGGTGTGATGTATTGTTAGTCCGTGTGTACAGGGTGTTGAATTTCACTCTCGGCTTGATAGCACTCTTTAACCGAACCTCTAATGATTCCTTAATGAGGCTCAGTCTGCGTTTTAGTCCTACTTTTATGCAAGCTAAACCGCTGCTTATCAATATCTAAGTACAGGGGAATGGCTGTTGAAATCAGCCTACACCAAGTGCTATTAAATTGCAGTATTCAGCTGAAACTGCAAAGGCGAGTGATTAAACAATAGGTTTAATATATATATTCCCCAGCTGAAGTTCATTGTTAAAGGTTTTCTATCTGAGTAGGTACAACCACTGAAGTTCTTCCAGTATGTGCCTAGTATGTAATAATTTCTAGATGCCATGTCAGTGTTATACCCATGCACTATTACAGATATATGCTGTTATGTTTAGTAGATATCAGAAAGACTGTTTACCATGTGTAATTACAGTCAACATCCCTCTATGGTACATAGAACACAATTGCATGTTTATGGTTTGGTTAATAGTCACATGACGTGCAGGTCAATAAAATATAATCTTTTTTATTTTATATATTTTTTTATATTATTTTTAATTTTAATTTTGCATTTAAATTTATATATGATAATACATTTTAATTAATGATTTCGTTATTTATTTGGAAGTGTTTACAATACTATGGTTGTGCTTGCTTGTGCAAATCTCATAGCCACTATGCTAGGGTGTCGTGGGTAGTTGCCATGGAATTGTGAATTTGATCCGGTTGCTAGGGTGTTCTGGATGCTTGCTAAGTGGCCAAAAAAGCTTATCACTCTATGGTTTTCTGGTCTCTAGATTTTTTGCTTTTTTATTGTCCTCCCAAGTTAGTGGACATATTCATATGCATTTTCTTTTTATATTTTCCATTGTGGAATTGACTTTCACAAACAGTTTTTATTTTCAGATTTTATTTTAACTGTTTTCACAGACAGCTAAAAAACATTCTATTTTTATGTATTTGGAGCCATTTTATATCAGAATATGGAACAGAAAGAAAATATTCCAAATGAATAATTTTTAATAACATTTTCAGAAAAAGAAAATGTATTCCTTCCAATTAAACTATATACAGTATATATATGCACATTTGGAGCTATTTTATGTCAGAATATTTAATAGAAATAAAATATTCCATAAGATTTCAAATTGATCACTTTTAATTATAATTTTTGATAATTTAGAATTTTTCAGTATAATTTTTTTCCATTGTGGAATAGACCATCGCTTTATTTAGTCATTTTAATTCCCCCAATTAAAAATAAATCTTTCTATTTTATGTTATTGGAGCTATTTACATCAGTATATCTAATGGAAATGAAAATATTTCATAATATTCCAAATGGATATTTTTTTATTATACTTTTTGATAATTTATGATTTTTCAAAAATATATATACATATTCTGGCAATTTTCCATTGTGAAATAAAAAACACAAAATATTTTATTCCCTCCAGATAAACAAAAAAATCTCTTTTTAATGTATCTGGAGCTATTTTATGTCAGAATATTTAATATATATAAAATATTCCATAACATTCCATTAAAAAAAATAATTTTCAGTGTTTCAGAAAAAAACTTTTTGGGGTTATTTTTAATCAGTCATTTTAATTCCCCCAATAAAAAGGGAGCTATTTTATGTCTGAATATCTAATGTAAGTAAATATCATAATTTGTAACACAGAGGGACAGGGAGACCTCATGGCTCATCTAATGCACACTGGGTTTCTGGCTCATCGGTAAAGCATCTTCCTGTGTCGCTGTTCAAACACTGCTAGCAGAGGCCGATCTGAGCTCTATCAGCAGACGCTGGTGTGTGATTTTCTTTAATCCTGTGTGTTTGAAGGGATTGGACAGGCTGAGGGCTGAATTTGACTGAGGAGCTCTACACGGGTGTAAGGATGCCCACATTACATTAGTGAGTCTGCTTCACTGCACACTTCAGCTGAAATCAGTTTTACTCCCCACCAAATGAGATGCTTACGATATTGTAGCCGACATGAAACAAAAGAGAGACAGGGCGTGTGAAAAAGAGACACACTACTCACATTTCTTGTTCTGTTCCAAACCTAGTGAGCTGCCTAGACAGTATTTTAAGTAATCTCGTCATAGGTGCACTTAAAGGGTTAGTTCACCCAAAAATGAAAATTCTGTCATTAATTACTCTGTAAAAATACACAGAATTGTATCACTGGACCAGAATCCAATGGCTGGTGACTTCAGAAAATTTACTGGCGATAAATTTTTTTTTACCAGACATGAAACTGTACAAATGTTCATTTTCATTAAAAAAATTTATAATAAATAAAAAATATTATTATTATTATTATTATTATCATTATTATTATTATTATTTTAAATAACAATGGTACAATTGCAGTATTAATATTTATGGTTGTTGTTTTTTCTTTGCTTTCAAACATTAAACCAAAAAGAATTATAAATTAAAAATATATATTTATATATAAATATTATTTTATTATTATCATTTAACCACAGTTGTTGTTTTTTTGGTGTGTTTTTTTTTGCTTTTGAACTTTAAACCCTAGAGCTTTTATTTTGATGGAAAACTGCAGGAAAACGTCTTTTTTTGAAATGCTTCTCTTTTTTGACAATAGATTTCTAAACCATATAAAAAGTTAAACTTTCTCATTATTGAACTTTTTCAAATGCATGTTATAAGCGACTCACAGCACTTGCACAGATGGAGTTTCCATCAAGCTGTTTGTAATGCAAACACACGCCCTGAGTGAACAGCCCCTTAGAAGGCAGCTGCCCACTGTATGTAAGCAAGGATGCTTGGTTTTGGAACAGAGCCATTCTCTCCATTGATCTTTCTCTCTTTTTCTACACAGATCAAAACCACTGACCCAACAGCAAAGGATGGGGTTGGACTCACCGTCCTTGCGATGGTACGTAATCTCCACTTTCCGTTCCTCTGACCCCAGGAGAGCCTGGGCCACCTGCGCAATCGCATGTCTTTTGGTTTGCTCGCCATGCAGGAAGTCGCATGTACAAGGTTTCTGCATGACATCCGGCCGTGAGAATCCCGTCATCTCACAGAATGCGTCGTTACAGTAAATAATAGCACAGTTCTGGACCCGGGCATTGGCTATGATGAACTTCTTATCTGTAAACAACCAAACACCACACAAAATTAGTATAGAATCGGCTTGGACGATCATTTGATGAGAAATTATTTGGCAGTACTTGGCAAATCTGAGCATGGTTTGAGATATTGTTCAGATCTCTTCTGGCACTACAGGAAACACATGTGAGCAAAAGAGGAGATCCATTTGATCTTTCATTGCCATTTCAGAAGCAAGTGAAATCAAAGAGATCTCATCTGTGGTTTTTATTCATGTATAGGCTTGAAGTTCTGACTTATGTTTACAGTTACATTAAAAAGATCAGATATCAGTTTATACCAGTGATTGCCAACCAAGGATATGTGTACTCCAGTGAGTACTTGGAAAGACTGTAAAATTACAATGAAAATGGATTAGATTTGAATTTTTATTTGTAAATAAATTCATCCCTAGGTCTTTCTCTGATCAATTTTCTCAATAATTCCCCCTAGAACTCAAAACTCAAATAAGCTCAAGTGAATCTGTTTTTCATCTACAGTATTGATTGTTTTTAGTTTACAAGTGAATAATTGTAATAATTGACTTATAGCCAGGGGCGCATTAATGCACAGGCTTCAAGGGGCTGAAGCCCAGGGGCCTACACTGGAAAGGGGGCCCACTGGCTGCAGGGAAATTATATTTTTGAATAATTATTTATATGGGAGTTTGCAGCAGTGACAACAGCAAACTCACACACTCATTTTTAGCGATGCCCTGGTTGTAGTAGCCTATATAGTGAATGGCTCAGTTAAGGTTCCCCCCCACACAGTTTGTATAGTTGGTACGTTCCACGTGTTCCATCGATATACTGTAAGCGGAACGTACAATGCATTCGCTAGTAATTAACCGCAGCACGAGAGTATCTTTGTCAACACGCAGATTAACAGAAACACAACACTGCGGACAACGTTCTGTAACGTCATACAGTGATGATATTGTCAAGGATGTAATCTGTGTGTCATCTGTGTTCCATAAATAGTGCTGCTTCAAAGTCTCAATTTTAAATCTGGCGATGGAAAAATAGGAATTGTCGTATTGCTTAAATGTAATCATTAAACTTTATACGGCTGTGATTTAACTAACTAAACGTGAGCACGTCATGCTTCAAAATAAAAAGTTAGCAATCACCAAATAACCCACATTTATGTCAACATGCCGTGTGTTTTGCTCTACTGCTGATGAATAATTAATATTTTGTGTGATTTATGGTGTTTAAGTCATACCTGTAAACTCACATTTCAGCCAGAAAAGTTTTGATGGCATTTTCCTTTCATATTGCCTCCGTATAATGCCAGTAATAACGTAGTGTTTACTTTATGTAACGGCTATATAATTCTGCTGTTCCACAAGCGCCACCTTGTGGCAAAGAGTGAATTTGCATATTCGCTTATATTCACATTTTACGCAGAACAGTGTTGTGAAATGTTAACTGGCATATTAACATGACAAAAAAACGAAGTTTGACAAATAATTGTTAGGAAGCTTAAAAAAAAGGTTTTCTGGGGTCGGGGGGCCTACTGTAATGCTGTAGCCCAGGGGCCTTTGGTTATCTTAAAGCGCCCCTGCTTATAGCTTATAATATTTATAATAATGTTAAATGGTGTCCAGTATATTATGAGTTAACATTGTTGATGAGCCTCACTGAAGGGACTGAGGAGGGAACGTAAGCCAAGAAAGGTTGGGAAACACTGGTTAAACAGTGACTGAGAGTTGAGAAACATTTGTGAGAGTATTATTATTACATTGACAAACAAAAATGTAATGTACTTCTATATAGCCTATATAAGTAATTTATGAACATTAATAACAAGCCAATAATTCCCTTGTTAAACATTTGTGAGAGTATTATTATTACATTGACAAACAAAAATGTAATGTACTTCTATATAGCCTACATAAGTAATTTATGAACATTAATAACAAGCCAATAATTCCCTTGTATTATATTTGAATATTTAATGTGTTTTATTGTTTATTTTGTATAAAAGTAATACAAATCAATAATATTTTATATTACTTTACTTTTATTAAATTGCAATGTCTTTATAGTTTAATTGCATCATAAAATTTAACCTGAGATTTTGAACACTCTAGCAGCTGTACTGCTTATATAATGAGTGCTTAAAAACCTTGCATGCCATAAAAATCCTCTAAATACGCTCGAGCAGTCTAGATTTCACTGTGTCCATGTGTATATGCGTGTGTGCGTGAGTGTGTGTGTAATCTTCAGTATGGGAGCATAATTTGCAGAGCGTGCTGTCATTCATGCATTTCAATGATATAGCTGCTGAGTACATAAACACGGTCATCTGACAGACGTATCCGAATTGTAAACACTAAAGAGCCACAATGCTAAAAGACTCCTGACTGTCATCTGCCAGTCTCTCTGAAAGCCTTTGTGTCGGTTCCTGTCGTTACTCTGATGCCCTAAAGCCTTATAAAAGCAATACAACATATGCTATTGTATGTTAGGTCATCTCATTGTTTACTGTATTGATATTAGTGTTTAAAACCTATAGGAAGAAACAATGGAATATGCATAAAATCGGATGCGCTCAACAAAGCTCAAACTAACAACTGTTTACTTTCTTTAAATGTATACGAGCTGCATGCGTGCGTAAATACAGAAGGCTACGTATTAGCTATATTTGTGTACGCATGTTAATATTAGCTCTTCATTTATCATCTGAATCACATGGAGACAAAGAATCATGTGTGTTTGTTTTGCAACACTTACTCTGTCCCTCGAATTTCCGTATTATTATTCCAAGAAAGGTATTCTGAGGAGCGACATGCCCTCTCCTTACAGGCATGATTATAACAATCTTCAGCTGTTCGTCCAAAAAAACAAAAAAAAACCCGCGAACCTCCTCAAAGTTATCGCAGCATCTGAACGGCGTCTCTTTGTCCGACAGAACGGCCGATCTCTCCACTTTCAGGGCGCTTTTGTCGGTGTGAACTCAGATACGGTGTTGTAGTCACACGCGTGTCGGAACCTTGGCTGAACTCCCCGAAACAGACACCGGACAGGAATCGGTGAAGAGGAAGAGACTTGTGAGATTCGGATGCAGAAGCATCGCTGTCCGCAGACGGGTAAAGTCCTGTGTGGTGCTGAAGGCGAATGGAAGACTGTGTCGTGATCCGCCTCTAGGGGCCTCAACTGAGCTCCGCCGCCCCGGGCTGACACTAAACTCACCTCAGCGTGCAGGCAGCCTCTACGGCGCTCATTTCGTAATGATACAGTACGTAACAGGGGTTGAGTTATCGCGCTCGTGACTCGGAAAAAAAAGTAGTAGAGGCGTGGATTTATGAAACTAATGAATGCAAGGTGCGAAGCACACACTGTTTTACAAATAACTTCAAACAAGAAGCACATGAGAGCAGTGCCAGTAGCATTTTGGTGTTCATATATAGACTAGCGAATTCACAACGACACATTATTATTAAGAAATACAAGATGACTTATTTATTTTATCATACTCTTTTCTAGTGTTGGGGAAAGTTACTAGTAAAAGTAATGCATTACAATATTGCGTTACTTCCTGAAAAGTAACTAATTAGTTACTTTTTATGGAAAGTAATGCGTTGTTAATTTTGCGTTACCTTTTCTTGTCTGCCTTGGCCTCATTTTTCTTTCTTCAGAGAAAAAAAGAAAAGAAAAAAGAAACACAAATGTTAAGTTTATCTAAAGTCATTTTTGAATCATCGAAGGTCAGCAGCAAAGATACTGGTTAATAAAATGGAATTAAATACACAAAGGATATTTGTGTTATTTAACATGGTTGCGTCATGTCCTGAGTTTGCATTTGACTGTTTTTATTAATTTTAGGAATACTGAATCTGTTTTTGTGCGAGTGAGATGAGTAAATGCGAGTTCACATTTAGTCTAGAACTAGCCTACAGTAACATCATGTTCACACAGCGCACACAACGCCTCTGCACTCACTCCTGATTTCTCTCAACATGAGGACAGGAGAGCTGTCAGTCAATACATGAGAAAACAAAGAAACTGGCCTTATTTGTTTAAAAAAAAAGCAACTCAGCTATTTTCTTGTAAATTAAAAAGTAATGCATTGCTTTACTATTTACTTGAAAAAGTAATCTGATTACGTAAAATGCGTTACCCCCAACACTGCTCTTTTCACGAAGTTTGAAAGAATTCGCTAAAATAGCGAAAAGTAGTCGCGTTTGTCTGAGAACGTAACCATCGCAACTGTTAGCTAGCGAACTCCGCTGTCCATCCAAAGTTGCGAATTTAACTTATGCGCAAAATTGGAATATCGCATGAAACATTTGCGAATTAAGCACCGTTTCGATCCAACGAGTCAAAGAGGACAAAATCTTCACTTCCTGATAAACCTAAATATCACTACGAAAAGTAGGAGAAGCCTCTGAATATAATAATTTTCATAGGCTATATAATAAATTACTTGCGCCTCAGAGCGAGCAGACGAAACACAATAAATGCGGTCATTGCTTTCGGAGGTGGATGCCTGCTGTTTGGGAACGCAGTTGAGCAAGACAGTTCTGGAAGGCAATTATACAGAAATACTTTGACGACAGGCTTTGCTCAGGCATTTAAGAAAGACCATAACAACATTTGAGATGCAGTGAGATCGGTCCGCTGGTTAGTCCAGATATCCCGTCCCATATCGCAAACATTATTTTTATTTATTTTTTTAAATTATTTTTTTTGATGCGCATGGATTTTATTCGGTAAGTGTGTTTCCATTGTAGTTTATGCACATTTTTTCTTATCGGATAAAAAGTTTATCCTACACAATTGTGCGCATTCGTTTTTTTACGCGCATTTTTTGAATTTATGCGCATCTTGGCCATATTCCAAAATGCGCATAAAAATAGGTGGATGGAATTTCTGTCTGAAATCTTCTGTCGAGGTTCGTCTTGCGCGACCTACATTTGATTGTGGACACACAACACACACATGTCTGCACGATGTCTGTTAAAGATCGCTTCATCTGGAAAGCATCTGCTGTGTACAAACATCTGATAGACGTCTCTAAGATGTCAGTTTTACATACATTCTAAATCATAAACAACTTTTAGAGACATTTTCTAAACGTCTATTTGACATCTGATAGGAAACGTCCTGTGTAGGCTATTGCAGATGAGCAAACGCTCTAAAAATACATCTTGCAGACGTCATATAGACGTCTCCGTGATGTACGTGTGCTATCAG